AGGAGATATCTTTCTTGAGCATAATTACTAATAGGTAAAATAGTGGCCAGAGATAAAAGCTCTGATGAAACTAGGAATAGAAGAAATGTACTTCAACATAATAAAGGTATATATAGCAAACCTGTAAGTCACCCCAGAGTCAACAGGGAAAAACTAATTTTCTCCAAAGTTAGGAAGGAGATAGGCATTCACTGTCCCCACTCTTTCTTAATAAATACTAAAGTTCTTAAACAGAAGGAGGCAAGAGAACGAAATAAAAGGGAGTCATATAGGGAAGAAAGAAGTAACTTTATTCAGAGATGAAATGAGTCTATACTTAAAAGAACCTAAATATTTCACCAAAAACCTTCTAGAGCTAATAAACATTTTCAGCAATTTAGCAAGATTCAATATTATTAAGCAAAAATCAATAGCTTTCTATATACCAACAAATGAACAAGCTAAGAATGTAAACAAGAAAACAATTCCAATCTATCAAAGAGGCCAGAGATCTCTCAATGAAAAACACAAAACCCTAAAGAAAGAAATATAAAAAGGTCACTTGAGCCCGGTACCTGGTAGCTCACGTCTGTAATCCTGGATACTCAGGAGGCTCAGATCTGAGAATCACGGTTCAAAGACAGTCGGGGCAGGAAAGTCTGTGAGACTCTTATCTCCAATAAACCACTAGTAAACTGGAAGTGGCGCTGTGGCTCAAGGACAGCACCCAGATGCAGAGTTCAAGCTCCATGACCAACCAAAAAAAAAAAGGTCACGCGATGAGGTAAATGTCTCATGTTCATGGACTGGCAGAAATAATGCTATGAAAATAAATCCTCATCAAAATCCCAAAGTTACTCTAAACAGAAATAGAAAAATCAAAGTTTCACAGGGAAACGAAGGACTCAATAGCAAAAGTAATCCCAAACAAGGAATAATGCTAGTGGTATCATAATATCTGACTAGAAATTGTATGATGAAGCCGTAACAGACCCCGCATGATACAGACACAAACATAGACACTAAGATCAGTGGAACAAAATAGACCAGCAAATAAACCTACACAGTTACAGTGACCTGATTTTTGACAAAGGAACCAAAAACATATACTAGAGAAAAGACTGCTTCTTTAACAAATGATGCTGGAAAAAGCTTGTTATCTATCAACAACATATAGAAGACTGAAACAGGATGCCTATCTCTCATCCTATATCCTGTATAAAAGTTTTTTGTTTTTCCTGTAGCTTGAACTCTGGGCCTGGGCCCTGTCACTAAGCCTCTTTGTACTCAAGGCTAGCACTACCACTTGAGCCATAGAGCCACTTCCAACTTTTTCTGAGTAGTTTAATTGAGATAAGAGTCTCATGGACTTTGCCCAGGCTGGCTTCAAACCACAATCCTCAGATCTCAGACTTCTGAGTACCTAAGATTACAGGAGTGAGCCACTGGTGCCCAGCTAAAAATCAATTTTTAAATAATAGAAATCTCAGACTTTTTAAAAAATCAAATCTAGAAACACAGATATATTTTTTCCTATTAAAAGATCTTAATGTAAAGATATGAAAATTTGAAACTCCTATAGGAAAATACAAAGAACACATAGGTATAGGCAACTAAAGAATGGACAAATGGGACTGCATCACAGAAATCGTACAAAACAAATGACATGGTAAAATCTACAGAAAAGGAATGGAGGAGAAACTTGAGACATATATTGAAAGGCGCAATCCAGGAACAGTCATGCTTGCTTGTAGTTGCAGCACTTGGGCAGCTAAGGCAGAAGGGAAGTTCAAGGCAAGCTGAACTAAACAGGACCTACCTTAGTGGGAAAGAGAAGGTAAAACAAAAAGGGAAACTAGGCCGGGCGCCAGTGGCTCACGGCTGTAATCCTAGCTACTCAGGAGGCTGAGACCTGAGGATCATGGTTCAGAGCCAGCCCATGCAGGAAAGTCCGTGAGACTCTTATCTCCAATAAAGCACTAGGAAACCGGAAGTGGCGCTGTGGCTCAAGCAGTAGAGCACTCGCTTTGAGCTGAAGAGCTGAGGCTGACCAAAAAAAAAGGGGGGGGGGGGGGACTATTGTTTCATTACCATCTATATGGATGAAACAACCATACCAAAAAGTTAAAAATCAGTAGAGTAATCTGGGCACAGGTGGCTCACACCTGTAATACTAGCTATTCAGGAGGCTGAGATCTGAGGATCATAGTTCAAAGCCAGCTTAGGCGGGAAAGGTCCTGAGATTCTTATCTCCAATTAACCACTTAAGAACCTGAAGTGGACCTGTGGCTCAAAACAGTATAGCGCTAGCCTTCAGAGAAAAAAGAAAGCCAGCTCAAGCAGGAAAGTCCCAAAGTTCCCGTGAGATTCTTATAACCAATTAACTACCAGAAAACTGGAAGTGGAGCTGTGGCTCTAAGTAGTAAAGTCTAGCCTTGAGTGAAAGAGCGCAGGGACCTCACCCAGACCCAGAGTTCAAGCCTCACGACCAACAAAAAGAGGGGGGGGTAGGGAGGGAGAGAGAAAGAGAGGAGGGAGGGAGAGAGAGAGGAGGAGAAGAGGAAAGGGAGAGAGAAAAGAGAAAAAGAAAGTCAGAATAGTGGCTACTTTTGGTGAAGAGGGTTCTGGCCTAACATCAAAGAGATATTTCTCAATTCTATTGAATTCCACCTTATTCTATATCCTGTAGCCACTTCTCAATTGGCTTAGAACTTAAGAGAAAAGGGTATATAAAGACAATCTACAAACCACAACACCAAATATAAAATATGAAAACTTGGATTAGTGAATAAGAGATGAAACAACAGAACATAAATATGCATGTTTTACTAAATTAAGATAGCTAGATATGCAAGAATTCTAGTTCACAATAGCTGAGACTGGACTGTCATGTCATCTAATCATGGAAAGAAGTATGGTAGCTCAGAAGCACAAAAATAATGTAACTTCTAAGGGTAAATTAAAAGATACTGATCAAGATGCACTGGACTCTTAATAAGATTTCCAGAATTGAAATCCCTTTGTATAAATACTTAATATAAATAAGTAGATAGATAGGTAGATAGGCTACAGACAAACACTCTGGCTAAAAGTTACGGTCTTTTTTTTTTTTTTTAACATAAATAGACACACTAACCTTTAAGTGAAAAATTAAAACTATATAAACCTACCTTATGCAAAAATAACCCACTATAAAGCATGAACTGAGTTTTGAATTCAGGGACTTAGAGCTTAGCTTTTTTGCTCAATGCTAGAGCTGTTACTTGAGGCCCAGCTCTACTTCTAGCTTTTTGCTGGTTAAATGGAGGCAAGAGTCTCACAGACGTTTCTGCCTGGGCTGACTTCAAACCATTACCTTCAGATCTCAGACTCCCGAGTAGCTAGTATTACAGGCATGATTCTTTCATTCAAGAAAAGGCTTTATTTATATTTATAGGGTAAATTGTGATGGTCCAAATCATGTATGTATGGTGTGTTGATCAAATTAAGAGTAGTGAGTATACTCATAGCCTTATACATTTATCATGTTTTGTAGTGAGACCATTCAAAAACCTAATTTATATTCTGAAATATACATGATACATTCTTGTATTATAAGTTCTATTCTATACACTAGAACCCCAGAATTTATTCCTTCAATACACTTTGTGGTGTATAGATTTATATATGCATGAACAAAAGAATTATACCTTTGTTAAAAAAGAAAGCATGTAAATAAAACAAACTGGACTAGAAAAAATAAGTTATTTATTCTACCTTTGTTAAAAAAGGAAGCATGTATGGGAAGATGGCTCAGTGGTAGAGCGCTTGCCTTGCATGCATGAGGCCCTGGGTTCGATTCCTCAGCACCACATAAGCAAAAAGAAAAAACCGGAAGTGGTGCTGTGGCTCAAGTGGTAGAGTGCTAGCCTTGAGCTGAGAGGTCAAGCCCCACGACCGGACCCCCCCCCCCCCAAAAAAAAGAAAGCATGTAAATAAAACAAACTGGACTAGAAAAAATAAGGAAGGAAGGAAGGAAGGAAAAGAGGGAGGGAGGGAGGGAGGGAGGGAGGGAGGGAAGGAAGGAGGGAGGGAGGGAGGGAGGGAGGGAGGGAGGGAGGGAGGGAGGGAGGGAGGGAAGTAAAAAAGAACAAAGACAAAAGACAATACTTTTTTACTGTCGCTCACCTCAACTTCATGGGCATCCTTACATAGCTATAATTATTGGTTAAACCAATCTGACTGCAGTGTTTATATTATGACTACATTGTAATTGTAGTTACTCTTTTGTAAGCTTTTTTGATAATATGAACAACCCTTTTCTATAAAAACCCTCAAAATAATTTCCTGTTCCATCAAAGAATATAATCTTTAAAGTTCATTATTCCTAACTATGGTACCAAAAGATATTCATATTGGTCAACAGGTATTTACAAATTCACACATCTCTCATTGTTTGTATTTCTTTAGTCAAATTTTCTCTCAAGCTTCTACTCAGTACTGTCAGTTTAACCAATGTCACTGTTTTCTCTCAGTTCTGCTTCCTTTTATATACTTTACATCCAGACTCTTGGAATCATTACTGGAGAGCTGTCATGTTTAACTTCTATATCTCTAACACTCAATTCTTACAACCACACAACAGTGCTTTAGCATCAGTCAGTTTCTAATACAAAGTGTTTTCATTTCATGTAATATATAAGTAAACAAAGATTAATGTCTGAAGAAAAAACAACACATGGAATGCCAAACGTTTGATTTACTTTAGAGCACTTATTAACTAATATTATGTTAAATGCTGATTTGTGGTTAGAAAAATGGTAAATTCTCTATTTCTTTCAGAAGAGCAATCCAATACATACCTCTGTAGAAAATGTTTCTTCTGGATTTATCCATATAACAAGGAATTAATTCACCTTATATTATGAAAAAAGAGACTGAAATGTGTCTTGTAGACATCACTGACTCAGAATGCCAAGAAGCATAAGGTTTAGCTACAGCATCTGCTGAAACTTTAAACTTAGTTAAGAGGCTGTAGTTACCTCTTTTTGTAGATGAAGTTTGAAGCAACTGTTTGGCTTTGAGGGAAGTGCGAGGCAAATTTTTCAGCCTTTGCGAAGCTGTTGAAAAATAAAGAACTGTAATATTTGCCTGGAAGTACAAGATAAAGGCTATAGCTTCTGTAAACTTGAATATTTTAATATAAACTTTAAAACTTATCAAGGAAGAGAGACTATAAGATGAAAATGTTAGACCCTAGAAGCAAAGAGATTTTAAAGAGAAGCTCAGTGCAGCACAAGGTATGCATACAGCATACTTTTAGAACTAGTTTTTTGGTAGATGAAAAAAAAAACTCATATGTCAATCAGTTGACATATCAAAGAGAAAACAAACCACCAGCAAACATGCTACAGGATGCAAAGAATACAAATATAAAGATAAAAGTGATGAACACAAGCACACAGCATAGAAAATAAATGCAATACCTTTACTACAAAAAAGCGCATTTTGGCAAAGCAGTTATTGTTAGATGAAATGTCCTAAAATGAAATAAATCCCCATACTCAAAAAGGAGAAGAAAACTCAGAACCAGGAAAGTCTTCTGAAAGTCATAATCTGCTGGCTTTACTGTGTTCAACATTTTCTTGTTATACAATTCAATTAATTTTAACCTCCATCTTTGAGTAATATCATATTTAAATCATGTACATACACATGCAGAGAGGGAGGTATGTGTGCATGTGTGTGCATGTACACATGCACAAGTGTTGATGTGAGCTGAAGGGTCTGAATGAGAAAAGGCATATGCCTTTTTTTTTTCCTTTGGTACTGGTATTAGGGTTTGAACTCAGCGCCTGGGAGCTGTCCCTTAGTTTTTGTTGTTTTTTTTTTCTCTCTCTGTTAGTGCTCTACCATTTAAACCACAGCCTCTCTTCCAGCTTTTTGGTAGTTAACTGGAAGTAGAGTCTTAGGGACTTTTCTGCCTGGAGGACTGGCTTCAAACTAAGATCCTCGGATTTCAGTCTCTTGAATAGTTAGGATTACAGGCACAAGCCACTGGTGCTCAAATTAGCATATGCCTTTTAATATGATCAATGAAGAACTCTTGTCTTTTTCCAAATTTCTAATCTTCTGAAACTACATTAAAACTCTCATACTATCATTTAATATTCAGCCCAAGTCTGGAGTAAAAATGGTTTCAATTATTCTAAGACAAGTTACTATGGCTTCTGTGATCTATAGTGGTATACATATAGAGTCCCACATCTACCAATGCAGTCACCTATATCCATTGGTGTAAAGTTCTATACTTCAAGGATGAACATACCATTTTCTTTAAATCAAAGAGATTTCTTGCCTAAGAGTATAGCAAGGGCACAAATAAGCACTGGGGTTATAAAGTAATATTTGATAAATTATTAGAGAACAAAGAGAATAATATGCTGAATTCTATCAAAGTTGGGCAATGATTATTACCTTACAGCTAATAAATTTACAATGTATTTCACTTCTGATTCTCAGCACTCTATAAATTACTATAGCTAAATAGTGTCTGATGCCAATTTAACTCAAATAGGAAGACTAGCAAAAACTCCACATTGAAAAAAAAACTTTATGGGGCTGGGAAGGTGGCTCAGTGGTAGAGCACTTGCTTTGCATGCTCATGGCCCTGGGTTCGATTCCTCAGCACCACATAAGAAAAAAGCCTGAAGTGGCGCTGTGGCTCAAGTGGTAGAGTGCTAGCCTTGAGCTGAAGAGCTGAGGGACAGCGCCCAGGCCCAGAGTTCAGGCCCCACGACCGGACCCCCCCCCCCCAAAAAAAAAAAAAAAACAACTTTATAATGAATGGGTTACCTTATATCTACATCATAAAATGCACTATTATCATCAAATATCCTTCACCTACATATTTATTCACATGTTTTCATCCAACCATCCATCCATCTACCCATTCATCCTATATTCAATTACTCGTATAGCTAAGTATCTGCTTTACTCCAAGTACTGCTTTGGGGACATGGAGCTAGTAGCCAACTCAATAGACAGTTGATATTCTCATGAAACTAGTACTTAAGAAAGGGGAGACAGACAATATAAATGAAGTAGCAAAAGAAACAACTTTCCCAATAGTGATAGCTATCTCAAGGAGAAAAGTAAGTAGAAAACGGGGACAAGAAGATTTAAGTTGCAATTACAAATAAATGACCAGGAAAAATTTTCCCTAAGAGGATATTTGCACAAAGATGAAGAAAGAGTGAGACTTAGTGAGTGATGCAGAAACTGGGAAAAAGTATTCCAGATTAAGTAAAAAGCAACTATAAGAATATGAAATTGCAACGTGAATAGTATCCTGAAGAACAGAACTCAGCTGTATATGATGGCAAAGCAAACCAGCAAGCTATTAAAATCTACTAAACTCAAATACCATCCACAATAATCTATTTGCATTCACAGCTATGGTAAATTTAATGGACTCTATTGTCCTTCAAATTTCATGGTCAAGTCACAACAATGGAAACTAGACAAGGGACACACTTTTACCAGGAATTCACTGTAGAATGAGACTACATAAACAATTCAGTAGCAGCTTCTAAGTTTATCTGATACAGACTTGAATGATGATTTTCATAAACTATCAACAATCATCAGGTGATGTCAGCCAAACAAGAACCTTTTTTTTTTTTTTTGGTCAGTCATGAGGCTTGAATTCAGGGCCTAGGTGTTGTCCCTGAGTTCTCCTGCTCTACCACTTTGAGCCACAGTTTTACTTCCAATTTCCTGGTTGTCAATAGGAGGTAAGAGTCTCACAGACTTTCCTGCCAGGGAAGGTTCTGAACTGTAATCCTCAGATCTCAGCCTCCTCAGTAGCTGGGATTACAGATGTGAGCCACCAGAGGCTGGTTAAGAACTAAATTTTTATCTAAATTAATCTCATCGGATCCATTTTCTCTTCAGAAAGGCAGACATTTTCTAAATGACAAAGTGTACTAGTTTAAGTGAAACATCCCAAATCATTCTATAATAATAGATGTTAGCTATGAAAATATATTATCCTTTTGGTAGAGATTTTATTAATTTTTTTGCTGACAGTTCTAAAATTCAAAGTTTGATAAAATATTTTTACTGTTGGCAGTTTTTTTTTTCTTGCCGCTATTATTCTAATTCATTTAATTTCATTAGGTTACTGGGCTTAGTAACACAGGGAGACTGTTAAAAGCAATCTTTACTAAGTGCTAAACACTAATTACAAGCTACTTCAGTGAATGAAAATTAATTAGCTAAAATACTTGTGATGTTTTATTTAAAATCTCTTACTGCTGAACTGGTGGCATGGCTCAGCAGCAGAGCACCTACTTAGCAAACACATGCCCTGAATTCAAATCTTAGTACACCAAAATTTTAAAAAAGAATACCAGAACTGGGTGCCAGTGACTCCACCTGTAATCCTAGCTATTCAGGAGGCTGACATCTGAGGATCTTGGTTTTGAAGCCAGCCTGGGCAGGAAAGCTGTAAGACTATCATCAATCAACTCCCCCCAAAACAGAAGCAGAGCTGAAGCTCAAGTGTTAGAAGGTTAGCCTTGAGCACAAAAGCCCAGTGCCAGCACAGTGCCCAAGCCTACAGTTCAAGTCCCAGGACCAGGGTAAAAAATAGTAATACTAGAACACTAAATTTCTTGTTGCTTACAAATTCTCAGTTATCCTTTGATTTTCGCTCACCCACTTCACCTCCAATCTTCTGTGTTATCAAGCCATTTTCTAATTATTGAAAAGAAAAAAAACAAACTCTAGATTTTACTATTGACTCACCCCTTTGTTTAAACCTTTATTTCCTGCACAGATTATGCAGTAAAGAGCCTTCTCAGTAATTTCTCCTCTCTCTTCACTTCAGTCCATTTTCCATACTGTTATAAAACCAATTAAAAACTCCCTAGGGCTGGGCACTGGTGGCTCAAGCCTGTAATCCTAGCTGCTCAGAAGGCCGAGATCTGAGGATCACAGTTCAAAGCCAGTCCAGGCAAGAAAGTCCATGAGATTCTTATTAACCACCAGAAAACCAAAAGTGGCACTGTGGCTCAAGTGATAGAGCACTTGTCTGGGCTGAAGAGCTCAGGGACTGTATCCAGGCCCAGAGTTCAAACCCCACAATTGACCAAAAAAACCAAAAACAAACAAAAAAAGCTCCCTAGGGCTCATTAGGCTTATAGGATGAAACTCGAACTTAAAAATTTTAAGAGTCTGGGCTGGGAAGGTGGCTCAGTGGTAGAGCGCTTGCCTTGCATGCCTGAGGCCCTGGGTTCCATTCCTCAGCACCACATAAGCAAAAAGCAAAAAAAGCTGGAAGTGGTGCTGTGGCCCAAGTGGTAGAGTGCTAGCCTTGAGCTGAAGAGCTGAGGGACAGCGCCCAGGCCCAGAGTTCAGGCCCCATGACCGGACCCCCCCAAAAAAAAAATTCTTAAGAGTCTATTTCCTACCTCCACTTCTCAGTCCCCATCACTGATTCCATTCTTCGCCTATCCTCTTCTCTGCACTTCAGCTGTAGGAAACCACTAGGACCAGGTTGTCATTCTTAAGAATTTTCATTGCATACTCTATACTTCTTTGTTTGGCAACTCATGCAAGCTCCTCTTGAGCTGGCTGAGATCTTTTGGATCCCACAACTACTTCATGGGGCTAACATATCGCTCTTCTCTCAGAAGTTCTAGCCTGTTATTTCTTACTATTGGCAGGCATAGGCTATCTCACTCATTTATAAATTTTTTGCATTATGGACAAAACATAAACCCCTCAGCTGAGGTTCAATAAGTGGCTTTCAAACTTGAATATGCTTCAAAATCAGCTGAGACATTTTTAAGAATGAGATTCTAGGTCTCTAACCTCCCCAATCCAATAAAAACACTGTATTTATAAAATCTTGTGATTAGATAACTGACTTATCACTGCACTACGTATTCTTAAACTGATGCTCCATAAATACTTTACTCATTCTAAGCCCATGAACGATGGTTATTACATGATTAGATTTATGTCAATTCAAGTTTTATAATTACATAAAGTTTAAGGATCACCTTTCAGTGTTTTGGTAGCAAATGAATTCCTTGCTTGATGGTATCAGAATAATCTGGGCTATGTTCAAGCAGACAACTGTTCTGGATACTGCACTGGATACAGTGAAAGATCCAGAGTACAATGTTGGTCTTATAGATCACTGTTCTCAGGTATACTGTGTATACTATGTAAAACTTTTTTTTTTTTTGGTCGGTAGTGGGGCCTTAACTCTGGGCCTGGGCGCTGTCCCTCAGCTCTTCAGCTCAAGGCTAGCACTCTACTGCTTGAGCCACAGGGCAACTTCCAATTTTTCTGCTTACATGGTGCTGAGGAATCAGACCCAGGGCCTCATTCATGTAAGACAAGCACTCTACTACTGAGCCACCTTCCCAGCCCTGTACAACTATTTTTACATTAGGCAAAATGGGCAAATGGATATTGCTGAGTTATTTTATTCTTTTGTAGTAATTAACAAGTTATTTATAGTTTAATTTCAAGTCATGCTCCAATACTCATCTAAGAGTATTTTCCAAGATGCCTCCTCATTTATAATTAATGTCAGCATTATGTATTCTAAACAATAAGAAGTTTCAAGTAGGTGTTGAAAGGAAGGAATAATTTGGTCTTGGTTTTGCCACTTTTCTAGTTATATAACCTTGCATTATTTATAAAATTATGTGGATCTGTCCTTTTTTCTGTAAAAATAAAAAGTAAAAGAATTATGTTTGTGAGATTCAATGATAATACATGTGAAAGAACTTTTGAGTATTTAAAAATACTAACCCATTTTTGGCTATATTTTTTTTAAAACAAGTAGATTTAAAAATTCTCTTGGAGAGTGCACTCTTCCTTTTCTTATGAGCCAGTATTTCATATATATTTCAGAAAATTACATTTTCTGCTAACCCTGTTTTTTTTTTTTTTTTTAACTAGCTTTCTCCCTTGACAAACATTCTTCCCTTTAATTAACCACTGAGAAAATGGCCTGTACCCATGATCTTTATAATGCTCTGGTTTTCTTAAACCTTTTAAGTTATTCACATTTCCCAAATAAAAATGGTGAAAATTTATAATACTATAAAAGTTTAAAATACACTAGGATTCTCATAATACTCATATTTAAATGTCAGCATCTACAATAATGCAGCCACAGCAAATAAGCATATAAAAACAGCGACTGGCATAGTAACAAGGCAAAAGAAGTGGTCCAGTAGGTAGAAGTAAGCAACCTTGCAAAGTTAGCTTCATGCAGACCAGCAAGTAAGAACTGAAGTTTTGCCACTTAAGAGTTGAAAAAAATGAATATTTGAAAGAAAGTAAAATGGAGTATCTATAACACTACCAACAGAAGTTTACAGAAGAAATACAAACTGTAATTCATTGTATAAAACTTGCTATTATACACACATAATTATAAATTAAAAGGCTTTCATAAACACTATTTTTGAAGTATTTTTATAAACACAAGCTTAAGCCTGTTGATATTCTAGATGATCAATTTTCCAAATATATTTTTGGTAAGTTTAATTCTATACAAAAATAAACATTATGTGACATTTTAAATTAGAAGCAGGTTTTATTGTAGCTACAAATATACATATGAGCAATTATATACAACTAAGAAAGAATGATAATTTAACTCTTCTACCAATATATTGTTCAAACATAGAAATACACTTTTGTGAAATTGCATATATTTTTTCCATACAATAGTACATTATAATTGGAACGCCATTTTCTCCCATTTTCCTAGTTAATTATTAACTACTTAGAAAAAGGGAAATTACTTTGCCTATATAAAAAAAATCTAGGAAAACAGCAGATGGTTATTGAAGGCAATCCTATCCCCATACAAGGCAAGTAATTATCATGTAGCTTAATATACAGCCAATACATTTTCTACTAACATATACACACCAGTTTCCAATCTTTCTTTTCTTCTGTCTTTATGTAAAGCTATTTTTCATTGTTGTGATACTGTAACAGTTCAAGTACAGGGCATACTCTTCCCACGAAGAACAACCTTGAATCAGAATTGGTACTGACAATAGCTCTATTGGGGTGATGTTTTAAGATTTATCATGTAAAGACTTTTGTTTTATTTGTTCCAGTCCTGGGGCTTGAACTCAAGGCCTGAGCATATTCCTGAGCTTTTATGCTTAATGCTAGTGTTCTACCACCTGAGCCACAGCTCTACTTCTGGCTTTTGGTGGCTAATTGGAGATAAGAATCTCATGGGCTTTCCTGCCTGGATTGGCTTTGAACTGAGGTGCTCAGATCCCAGGCTCCTGAATAGCTGGGATTACAGGTGTTGAGCCACCAGTGCCTAGCTCATGTCAATTTGTTTTCAAAATTCAAATCATAATAATTAAAACCAACTATAAAACCGCAGCATTGAAAGCCAAGCACAAATGTTTTGGATTATGTGCAGATGCTATAAAAGCATAGCTTATAAAATACATGAGTTTTATTACTCTATCATTTTGATGGCTGACATTTCATTTACTATTGTACTTGCTAAATATATAAGGGGAAAAAAACCTCCGAGATATATGACATTCTATATCAAATTAACTTACTATGAAGGCTTATATAAGCACAAAACCTACCACTTACCATTTCAAAAATGACAGAGTTCCAATTCTGTTCTTAATTTCACTCTAAAAAGTTTATAAATTTGTATGTTCTACACTACTAATAATTACCATAGTGGATATCACAACAGCCTTCTTAAATATTCAGTTCACAATACCAATTTCTCCAGACTGGTATGCTAAATTTAATATTGCATTTGATTTGAAAATCTGTTTTGAAATATATTCAACAGAATAAACGAGATATGTAAATCTCTAGGTTAACGTTTTCTACAGTGTTGTAAACTATAGAATTTCAAATTTTAGAAAAATCAGAAATGACACTTCTGGATATTTTTATACTTTGGTACCATATAACGTACGTGGACAAGTCTCTGTGTGACCTTTGTAGGCTGGATCAACAAAAGTATGGACAGTGACCTGTCCTTTACATTATATGTAATATGCACAACCATGGGTAAAGTTAGATTCTGATGTTTAAATTTCTAATTTATAGAATGTTGATAATGGTACCTTTTTCATGGAATCTTTGAGGATTAAGATTAGATACGTAAATTAAGGAAGTTATCTAATCTATTAAGTTTTAGATACCTAAATTCCTATGATATAAACAATAGCATACACAACTAGTAAATAAGAAAAATGTGTTATTTATTACACTAGTTACTTGGATTCAATTCTGTCCTTTGCTAAAATGTGTATGTGTGTGTGCACGCATATGTGTGTGTGTATTTTATTTTTTTAGTGGTGGTAGGGATCAGATAGAGGGCCTCTCTTATGCTAGGCAAACACTTTACCACTGAGCAACATGTGCAGCCTTAGATATTCCTAAAGAAGAGATCTTTTCCTGGTTTTAGTGAGGTTTGAACTCAGAATTTTATACTTGCTAGGTTGGCACTCTTATCAGTTGAGCATACCTTCAGTGCTGCAGAGATTTTCTAAAAGAAGATTTAAATACTAAGTGATATGTTTGCATAGAATATTGGCCACTATTTCTATTCTATTTCTACAAGCAAAAGGCAAATGTACCTTATTTTAAAATAGATTTTGCTTGTTTAAAACCTCTATAAAGTTGGTTGCTCTCACAAGAAGCCCTATCTTAACCAAAAGCTGGACACCATGATGCATGTCTGTCACTCCAGCTTCCCAGGGAAGCATAAATAGTATGCTTGTGTCCAGGATGGCCTGGGCATAAAAGTGAAATTCTATCCCCCAAATAAAGCAAAATAGGTATGACTCAAGTGGTAGAGGGCATAAGGCCTTGAGTTCAATCCCCTAGTATCTCCCCAAAATGATTGCTATACAAAAGTTCATTATCTTTTAGTAATAGCTTAATGCAGTAACACAGCACAAAATAAAAATCTGTAATTTTCATTTCCTGTTATTGATACCTGAAAGCATGAGAAAAATACATACTGGCTGAAGCCTGAGGTTGCATGCGAGGTATTCCTCCGTTTGGCACTTGAAAATTTGAGTCACTTCTACTGCTTTTCACGGAGTCAATTTGTGTGTTAGATGTTCGGGACAGGTTTGGAAGACTGCGTCTCAGTTTTTCTACAATAATATAATTTCAGTTAAAAAGAAATCAAATCATTCTAATGGAGAACTAAAGTATTAGAACTGAAAACAAAATTATTTACACAAATTATGAAAAGGAAAAAAGAATCGCAATCCAGAGTTTGAAAATGGGTAGAATAAGAGACCCTCTCATTAATCATCCATAGCTCATACTGTAATACTCCCAATTAGTTGGGAGGCTGAGTTTGAGAGGACTGTGATTAAGTCCAAGCTCCTCAATGCATTCAACCAATAATGGGGAGTGGCAGCCCTTGCTTGTCATCCTAGCTATACAGAAGGCTGAGATGAGGAAGACTGAAGTTCCAGTCCAGCCCTGGAAGAAAAGTCCATGAGACTCCACCTCAATAGAAGAAGTTGGATGTGGTGGCACAACTCTGTTATTCCTGCTATGATGAGAAATCTATAATAGATGGATTGTGGGCCAAGCAAGATCTAGGCAAAAAATAAGACCTTAAAATACAATAAACAATACAAAAAAGGGCTAGTGACATGGCTCAGTGGTAGAGCATGAGGCCCTAATTCAAACACAGTACTATCAAAAGAGAAAAAAGAAACAATATCTACTGATGTTTTACCTTCATTTTTAACATTGCTTGTCTGTAAATCTGTGGGATGGCCTTGAAGTGAAAGTCGAGGTTGCTGTAAGCGGCTAATCATAGGCTGTGGGGATACTCTACTATATTCTATTCCCCGCGCAGGAGATCGTGAACGAGGTGAATTTCTGGGTGACTGCTTAGGTGATGGTCGAGGTGAATTGCGTGGTGATGGTGAAAACCTGTTAACAGCAGGGTATACGGCATGATGCATATTGTCATCTTCATCATCTAAACTTTGTGCATCAAGTTCCTGATCACTAAAAGTACCCCGTCTTGTAGAATTGCAAGATGAACCAGAACTGCGCCGAGATGTGGTAGCTGCATATTCTTGCCGAAGACCTGGCAATAACAAATTATTATTTTATTTAACTATATTTTCTAACATTTAAATATTTTTTAAATTTAAAAGTAAAAGACTGAGAAATTCTAATAAGGCATAAACAATTAATAAAAACCTATAAACCCTATTTCCTAGATTTCTTAAATCTGAAATAAATTATAAAGTAGAATCACATACTAAAAAATACTTTTACACCTGATGACAGTAATCTAAATTTGAGATTAGCACTAAAGAAAAACTAAGTGGAAAAATGACTAACTAATGAACAGAATATATCAATGAGCAAAAAAACCCTTTATTTATATCTGGATTAAAATTATAATGCAAAGATGTACACAGAATCTAGATACTTCCATCAAGTCTTGCCAATTCTTGGCATTCAGCAAAAGAGGATATTACAAAATATTTAAACCTTTAAGTATATATTTATACATAGAAGGAAATATTCAAAGCTAGGTGCAGGTGGCTCACACCAGTAATCCTAGCTACTCAGGAGGCTGAGATCTGAGGATTGTGGTTCAAAGCCATCCCAGGCCAGAAAGTCTGTGAGACTCATCACAAACCACCAGAAAACCAGAAGTGGCACTGTGGTTCAAACTGATGAGTACTAACCTGGAGTGACAAAGCTCAGGGACAGCATTCAAGCCCTGAGTTCAAGCCCCATGACCAATGGAAAAAAAATCAAAGTACTATTAAGAAAATTCCTCAAACTAGGTAGAATAGCCCTAGAGTATCTTTAAACCCATAGATTCCAGGGGATGTAGTTCAGTGACAGCACTTGCCTAGTATGCATGAGATCGATTCCATGCACTGCCAATAACAAACCATTTGAAAAATTCCCCAATAAATTCCAACCCCCTTAAATTGCTGGGGTCCATTCAGCCATTCAGTTAGGTTTGGGACCACAGTAACAACTGATAGCTACTGAGTGTCTAGTTATAACAAACACAGCACTGTCATCTAAGAAAACCCAACAGATCAACAGTGAAGGAACATTGTTTTAAAAAGGGAAAACTGAGGATGAGTGCCTATGGTTCACAATTGTTATTCTGGCTATTCAGGAGGCTGAGATCCAGAAGGACTGAGGTTCAAGATCAGCTTAGGCAAAAAAGTTTGCTAGACTGCTCCAAAATAACCAGCAAAACAGAAAAACTGGAGGTGTGGTTCAAGTGGCTGAGCTAGGTAATGGCCTAAATATGTAATTTTGCATTTCTCATTGTTAAAGAATTTCTAATTATTATAGCCCAGAGCTAATGTCACATCCCTGTGATCCTAGCTACTCAGGAGACTGAGATTTGAGAATAGAGGTTTGAAGCCAGTACAAGCAGGAAAGTTGGTTGACTCTTATCTCTAAGTAACTACCAAAAAGACAGGGTAGAAGCCAGGCGCAGGTGGCCTCACACCTGTAACTCTAGCTACTCAGGAGGCTGAAATCTGAGGATCGAGGTTTAAAGCCATACTGAGCAGGAAAGTCCATGAGACTCTTATCTCTAATAAATAACCAGAAGTGGCAGAGCATTAGCCTTGAGTAGAAAAGCTAAGAAACAGCGTCTATGCCGAGTTCAAGTCCCAGAACTGACACACCTGCCCCCCCAAGGAAAAAAAATCCTGGAAATGTAAAAAAAAAAGAAAAATATCATCTCTAAAAAATGGAGTAGGGTGCAGATTGCTGTTTTAAGGAAGTATTACATATAGTTTTGGCAGCATGTTTCTTTTTTTTTTTTTTTGGGTCCGGTCACAGGGCCTGAACTCTGGGCCTGGGCGCTGTCCCTCAGCTCTTCAGCTCAAGGCTAGCACTCTACCACTTGAGCCACAGCGCCACTTCCGGCTTTTTGCTTATGTGGTGCTGAGGAATCGAACCCAGGGCCTCGAGCATGCAAGGCAAGCGCTCTACCACTGAGCCACCTTCCCAGCCCCAGCATGTTCCTTTTTTTAAAAAATTTATATTTTATTGTACAGAAGGGTTAGTTACATAAGGTAATGAGTACATTTCTTGTCAAACATTGTTACTCCCTTCCTTTTTCTCCTCCCTGCTAACTCCCCCACTGCATCTGTTTCTTAATTCACCAGGAATACAATTATTCACATATGTAGAATACAATTATTCATATATGTAGATGGCTAAGAAATGATAAGGCTGAAATTTCTATTATTTGTTACAAAAGGCTAAAATTCCTGTATTTGTTGCAAAACAAATCTGAAATTTGAGGGGGTGAGTGGAGTTGGTAGAAAAGGGAAAGAATTATGAAATGAGTATCACTGATCAAGATCCATTGTACTCATAAATTGACACAATGGAATAAAACTTCTTGGTACAACTACTTAATAACAACGTGATGAATGATAACAGGACTGTAGACATTCATATACACTGAGACCAAAGGAGGATATTCTTAGGAGAGAAATACAAAAGCATAATACCTATATGCTCTGATCATATAAAATAGTATTGAAATTAATTCCAGGAAATGGGAAGAGGAGGTAGGAATGGGAGGGGAAAACTAGGAGAAATCAAGAGAAGGGGTGACACTGTTGAAAAAATGTACTTTTTACCTGACATATGTAACTTAACCCCTCTGTATATCACCTTTATAATAACAATTTAAAAAATTAAAGAAAAATAACAAACTAGTTAAGCTTTTCACAATATACCAAGACCCAAAAGGTGAGGCTTCCAATAAATGAGTTTATTCTACGGAATAGAATTTAATCTTAGCACGATAATATTGCCACAATAATCTTACATGAGAGCCTGTGTACATTTTGAGGATTACAGAAGCTATAATTTTTATTGGATTCTCAATAAAGTGACCTAAAATGTTTCAAGGACGTGCTGCAAAGTACCATCAAATTTAATTTAATGTCATAGTTCCAATTTTTCCATAAAGGTCATTTTTATATCTTTGCATTTTCAAGGGAGAAAATATTTGTTACCAAGAAGGCAAAAAAAATGGTTCTTAGGATATGAAAAAAATCTTAGGGTGTTTCTTATAGTACTTAAATATACCACAATTTCATGGGAGAAGCATAGATAAAAGGGGGGGATCCAAAAAAGGCTCCCCAAGGGATGAATCAAAGTATAAAACATTGACTTACACAAAAAGATACACAGTAACAGAGCAATAACTAGTGAGTGCCAATAGGAAGTTACACAAAGGGTCTGAATACCAATCACAGAAACTGAACATAATGTGCCTTTCTCTGCTCCTCATACAACAAAACAGCTCTTTGCAAATCGGACTCTGAAAACAAGTAAATGAACAAACACTGAAATGTCCTTTTTACTGTTTCTACTTTTACATTATATTTCCCACAATACTTTAAGTAAAAAAAAAACCACCACAACTTTTAACAGCTAACATACTTACTTTCTTCTTGCATCCGAGCTAGAATCTGTACATCAGTTACATCATTTAGCTTATAATTGGATCCAATTGAATCTTCATCAAATTCTGAAGCACTTAACTCACTATCTATAGACGACTGAGGACTGAGTGGAGGATTTCTGTCTGATGAATTTTTGAAGTTACCTTAAAAAGAGGGAAGAAAACCCCAAATATTAGTTAAGACAAAAACTGAATGAACATCTGTTGCAATCATTACAAATTGTATCCTTTAAGTTCTTTATTGTTTTACTATTTTTATTTGCAAAACTCCCAATCTGAAATTAGAAATTCATCTCAGTAAGTTAAAAGAAAACTATAAAGACTCCTTTATATATCCTGGCACAAATAAAAAAACATCTTAAAATTAAAAAAATTTTTTTTCCAGTCCTGGGGCTTGAACTCAGGTCCTGAGCACTATCCCTGAGCTTCTTTTGCTCAAGGCTAGCAATCTACCACTTGAGTCACAGCACCACTTTCACTTTTTCTGTTTATGTGGTAATGAGGAATTGAACCCAGGGCTTCATGCATGCTAGGTAAGCACTCTACCACTAAGCCACATTCCCAGCCCCACTAAACATCTTTTAAAGTATATCTTTTCTAGTCTCTTATAGAACAATTAAGCTTTCAACATAGTGCCTAGAAAGTAGTTATTCACTAACTCTATGTTAAAAAACGTCAACTTCTTCAAGATAGTTGATAGAGATGCTCTACAAGAAGATCAACTTATGATACAGTGTTTTCTCTTTCCCTATTCAGTCATCAACAAGCACCAAAATCTTTTTGCTGACTAAAAGGATCTACTTCTCAGCAAGAAAAGTAGATTTCTTAGACATATAAGAACAAAAACAAAAAAGGACACTAGGTTAATTTACCTTACATGGAGTTATGTTTACAAAATTTCTTGCCAAATTAGTAACGGGGATCCAAAATGTTCTGATATAGTAAAGCACAAAAAATGAGATCAAGAAAGTAACCTGATTTTTTATTCAAAGTACTAAACTAAAAGAAGGAGAGACAACAGGTCAGAGGAATAAAGAATATATGGCCTGAGAAGTCTTATTTCTAAGAAAATTGCTTTACTGGACCATCAACTGTTACTAAAGAATAAAATCCCAGCACTTTTACTACTATTTGCAATAAAGATTTGTATCAAACACCTATTTTTCAGAATCACTCACTGTGAGAGCCAGTTCCAACATAAAAGACAAATAGAGGAAGAACACAATATTAATAAAAAAAAGAGCATAATTCACATGGCAGAAAAAGTACAAAGACAGGTTCAAATATGCTTGAATCAATTTCTTTATTTTAAACAAATACTGCTGGTTAAATTTTTCAATATGATATCACCATAAATGAAAGCAGTAGCAAATAACCTAGATATTAAGCAAAGCAGGGTCAATAAAATCACTAGAGAACATGCAGGTAAAAAATATGAAGTGGTTAATAATACCTAATTTAACTATACTAATGAGTCATAGAATTGCAACTGTAAGAGTAACAAATGGGCTGGGAATTTGGTGTAATGGTAGAGTGCTTGCTTAGCATGCATGAAGCCCTGGGTTCTGTTACTTAGTACCACATAAACAGAAAAGGCTAGAAGTGGCACTGAGGCTCAAGTGGTAGAGTGTTAGCCTTAAGCAAAAAGAAGTTCAGGGACAGTGCCCAGGCTCTGAGTTCAAGCCCTAGGACTGGCAAAAAAAAAGTAACAAACAGATGAATTATAAAGGGAGTAAGTTATGCAGGGACAGAATCAGACACAGAACCAGCACAGCACAAATTCCCCAGTTGATAGCAAACTATCTCTCCCACATTAAACAGCCCCATCACACTTTGGCACACTTACGCTAGTATTTAACTGATGTGATGAAGGTTATTAAAACTCCTTAGTAAAGAATTTTTAACTTTTTCAACCCAGGTAGGCTGGTCAATAACTTTTACAACACTATCAATAGATAATGATTAAAGGAATGAATCTTGTGATCTTAATTAGACCCGATTTTTTAAACTTCTATCTTTAATTATGTGCCTATATATAAACATACATATATATGTATTTTTAAGTTCTTACTGAAGAAAGTTACATAATGTAACACAATCACTTACCATTGTACTGTTGATACTCAGTAAAAGTAACTGACTCCCCATTAAGATTTTCTCTATTTAAGTTTCATAAATAAAATGGACCCGAACTAGTAATACGTTATTTTTGAGGTAGGGCAGCAAATTAGAGACTATTCCTTACCTGAATTTCCAGGAAGTATTAGCTGTTTGACTATAGGAGGACGTACTGGGGTTGAGGATGGAGAATTGAAGCCACTGCTATATGGACTACTGGCATTTGGACTGTAAGGACTTGTATAACTCACAGAGTTGAAAGGATTATTGTATAAATTCTGCCTCTTGAAAGCTGCATTAGTGAGAAAAGGAAAATTCAAATTTAATTACTGAAAAAAAAGGAACCAGTTTATTTCAAAACTTTTTTTCTATTGAAAATTTCATTTAGTCATTGTCTATCTTAAAGAATCATTCTTTTCAGTAGGGAAAACTGTCATAAAAAAAGACTAAATATTTCTATTCTCTTTTATTGTGTTGTACAAAACAACAAAAATAATGCAGAAAGAATAAATCCTAAGCTGGCCACTAAATTAATCCATGTCCATCTTATTAGCAAGTTTGTTCTTTAGTAACTGTTCCATCAATATTAGAGTGACTTTTAAAAACAAACCAAATAAAAAAATTCTCTATTTTTCTATAATGATCACTTTAAAAAGCTATGTGTGGATTTTTGAAAAGCTTGTGCATGCGTGCATGTGCACACATGTATCATATATAGTTCATATCTCATAACTCCCTTCCCAGTACAGGCAATACAAACTAGAATTTCTCTTCCTCAAGGCAGATTCTACAAACTGTAACTGCTCCCTGTCTTCCTGTCTTGGAGCTGCCCATAAAGAAATTCCTTAACCTGCCTTATTTGTTGGACTACAAAGATCCCTATTTCACAATGGATCCTGCCCATACTCAAGAAGGAATGCTGAAGAATCTGGACTGGCTTTGTCTACCACTCTAGTCTACCAGACATTTTTATCCAGTCACATTTTGACAAGTTGACCACATTTTGACAAGTTGACCACATTTCAATCAGCCTATGGAATGAAGTCTCCATATAAACTTAAATCTTATGTTCAGAGTTTAGATAACTGAAAATGTTGAGGTTCCTAGATAGTGGTATGTCTGGAGAACATGGAACCTCTGCATTCCTCTCCTTGCAGTCCCAGCATGCATATCTTCATCTGTACCCTTTGTAATAGCCTTTATAATATCATTAGTAAATTTGTTTCTTTGAGTTCTGAGCACTGAGCGTATATATTAAATATACTATATTTGTATCTGTAGTATTTCTCTGTGTGTGTACATATATATACATATATATATATAAAACTTAAATATTGTTAAACATTCAGTACTAGATTACTGGTTCAGATAATCCAGTAATAGTTTTGGTTAAAGAATAACTTCTTCACTCATAAACTCATAATTTTTTTAAATCACTCATTCATTTTTTGAGACAAGATCTCACTGTACAACCCAAGCTTCCTGGAACTATGTAGACTAGACCTCAACTTCCCAATCTTCCTGCCTCAACTTCCTGAATGATGGGATTATCGATGTGTGCATCATACCTAGCCTCACATCTGTAATACACTTGCTAAAATAAAACAAAATACTGCTTACTAAAAAAGGTTCTATTTGAGATATAACAGCTTTGTGTTTCTCCCTCAAGTCCAGGTTCCTAGTTACTAGCTGAAAATAGTTTCACTTCCTTCAGATGATTTAAACCAGAATTGGCAAACTAAAGCCCACAGGCCAAATACAGCCCACCACTTGTGCATGTAAACAAGAACACTGCTATGCCTCATTACTATTACCTATGGCTGCTGTTGTCTATGACCAAAATTAAGACCTTACAGTGCACAAAGATCAAACTGACTCTTTATAGGAAGTTTGGCCACTTACATGTTTTATTTGTTTGTCATCTGATTCCTCCAATGAGAATATAAGTTCCAGGAAGGAAATAATCACTTGGGCTATTATAGTAATTGCTATGTCCTCAGAGTTGAGAATAATGTATACCATAGCAGTCCTCAACAGTTGTTGTTGAGGTTGTAAAAATTCCTAAATTGTAATTATAATTACATTATTCCTAATGTGAGATATTTAAGAAATTATAAACTATTCCTAGGAATATAATTTTTTTCTTTTTTTGTACTGGTACTGGGCCTTGAATTGAGAGCCTCTTGTTTGGCTTTTTCCCTCAAGGCTGGCACTCTGCAACTTGAATCATACCCAACTTCAGCTTTTTTGAGGATCAATTAGAGATAAGTTTCGCAAAGCTGGGACTGTGGCTTAGTGGTAGAGTGCTTGCCTAGCATGCATGAAACCCTGGGTTCGATTCAAAAGTACCACATGAAGAAAGGCTGGAAGTGTACTGTGGCTCAAATGGTAGAGTGTTAGCCTTGAGTAAAAAGCAGCTCAGGGATGGTGCTCAGGTCCTGAGTTCAAGCCCCAAGACTGGCGCGCGCGCACGCACGCACGCACACACACACGCACACACTTTTGCTCTCTGAGCAGGCTTCAAACTTTTACCTTCAAACTCAACCTCCTGAGTAGCTAGAATTATAAGCATGGGCCACTAGCCAACTAGCACCTGGTCTGAATATTCTTAATAAATGTCTGAATAGTATCATCTGGCCGAAATTTGCTGGAGATTTTATAATTTTACAGATTTTATAATTTTGCATATAATATAAATCAAGCCCAGACTATAATTCTAAAGACAAATTCATATTCAAGAACTTTAAAAAATGACACCAAGGCTATTTGGCTTTTCAAAAGGGCTTTTTTATTTTACAGATGAGAAAAGTTAAGACTTTAGTTTTTAAACAGATTCAGATTTATCCTGTAAGTTACTCCTTACAAACTAAAAAACCTCCTTTACTGCCAGTGTAACTACTTACCTATTCTTTCAGCTCTCCTAAGCCATATTCAGTGTCAACTCTAGTCAAAGAGTACTTTTTTTTTTTAAACAGTTCTGGACTTTGAGCTGATGGCCTGGTGCTTGCTAGGCGGTACCCTGCCACTTGAGCTACTTTCCCAACTCCCAAAGAGTACATACCTCTATGTTCAAGTCAAAATAAGGAATTTAAATACATGTCTGCTTATAAATATACAGCATAAAACAAAAAACAAATCTTACTCAGAATTACTAATCATGAATCAGTCCTTTACCACTTGCATATTTCATAAAGTGACCCTTGTAGTTGTTCAAGACTGCAATTCTAGCTACTCAAGAGGCAGAGAAGAGGAGGGGTGGGAGTTGAGGTCTGAAGCTACCCAGACAAAAAGAAAGTTGAAAGACTCCATTTCAACCAATGGTTCCTGGTAGTGTCATGTATGTGATTCTCATCCCTGGCAATATAGCAATAAACACAAATAGGAGGATCACAGTCCAAGTTGGCTCCAGGCATGAAGTGAAACTCTTCCTTAAAAATAACCAATTCAGCTGGGCGCTAGTGGCTCATGTCTGTAATCCTAGCTTCTCAGACGGCTGAGATCTGAGAATGTGGTTCAGGAAAGTCTATGAGACTCTTATCTCCAATTAACCATCAGAAAACAGGAGGTGAAACTGTGGCTCTAAGTGGTATAATGTTGGCTTTGAGTCAAAGAGCTCAGAGACAGTGCCCAGGCCCCAAATTCAATAACAATGACCACTGCCACCAACAACAACAAAAATGAAGAAATGGGATAAAGGAATGACTCAAGTGGTAAAGAACCTGTCTAGCAAGCACAAGACTGAGTTCAAACCTAGTACTACCAAAACTAACAAAATGGAGAATATTAAAAGAGATCAAGAAAAACGCTAAGGAAAGGTCAATACTGTCCATAATATCGACTGGCATGCTACACCAAAAGTCACCAATAACTATAAACGTATTTTTTGCCAGCTTTGTAAATACTATTTTTTTAAAAAAGCAATTTAAATCTAAAGTGTTAAGAGGAAAACAGTGTTAAGAGGGAAGAAAATGAATAAATTTATTAGGTAACTATTGTAAGCCAGGAAACAAACTACGTTCTTCATAATACATTATCATTTGCTGGGCATCAGTGGCTTAAGCCTAGCTACCCAGGAGGCTGAGATCTGAGATTCAAAGCCAGTCTGGGCAGGAAAGTCCATGAGACTCTTGTCTCCAATTAACTATAAAAAAGTCTGAGATGGCTCTGTGGCTCAAAGTAGTGGAACATTAGCTTTGAGGACACTGGCATGCACACCCCCCCAAAAAACACAAAAACCCCTGTACAACACCTTTAAGGTTCATCATTCTCATATGAAAATTGAGTTAGGGGCTGGGAAGGTGGCTCAGTGGTAGAGCGCTTGCCTTGCATGCATGAGACCCTGGGTTCGATTCCTCAGCACCACATAAGCAAAAAAGCCGGAAGTGGCGCTGTGGCTCAAGCGGTAGAGCGCTAGGCTAGCCTTGAGCTGAAGAACACAAGGACAGCGCCCATGCCCAGAGTTCAAGCCCCACGACAAAAAAAAAAAGGTGAAATTGAGTTTAAAAAAAGCTAAATAATGTAAAGATTCAAACACCAATTAAGTACCAGAGTAAAGAGGTCTCTTTGGCATTTCAGTTTTTCTACTTGAGAGAATCACCAACTTGTAATAAGTAGGATGACTTTAGACGATGACTTTTGATAAAACTGTATGGAAAACCTATATTTAAAAATTTACACAAATTCCTATTTATATTATTCTTTAGGAGGAGACTAAGTAAAAATGCGATTAAAAATACTATTAAGCCAGGTGCCAGTGGCTCACGACTATAATCCTAGCTACTTAGAAGGCTGAGGTTCAAAGCCAGCCCTGGCAGGAAAGGCCCAAAGATTCTTTTTTTTGGGGTCCGGTTGTGGGGCCTGAACTCTGGGCCTGGGTGCTGTCCCTCAGCTCTTCAGCTCAAGGCTAGCGCTCTACCACTTGAGCCATAGCGCCACTTCCCGTTTTTTTTTTTTTTGCTTATGTGGTGCTGAGGAATCGAACCCAGGGCCTCATGCATGCAAGGCAAGTGCTCTACCACTGAGCCACCTTCCCAGCCCCCCAAAGATTCTTATGTCCAATTAACCAACAGAAGACCGGAAGTGGTGCTGTGACTCAAGTGGTAGAGTGATAGCCATCAGCACAGAGAAGCTCAGGAACAGTGCCCAAGCTCTGAGTGCAAACCCCAGGCTGGCAGAAAAAAACAAAAACAGAAGAAAATGCTTCCAAGCAAGGAACTGTCTCAGTAAGTATGCATTACACACTATTTCTGGTCTTTCTGTTTTGTTTTTTTGGCGCCAGTACTGGGGCTTGAACTTAAGGCCTTGTGCTCTTTCTTGGCTTTCCCCCTCAAAGCTGGCATTCTACCACTTGAATCATAGCTCCACTTCTAGCTTTGTGCCGGTTGAATGGAGATACGTCTTTTGGATTTAACTGCCTGCCTGGCTTTGAACCTCAATTCTCAGATCTCAGTTTCCTAAGTAGGTAGAATTACAGACATAAGCCACCAGTGGCTCAGCAATATTTGTTTTTGACTAAACAAAGAGATGAATTCATAACTAAAATTATAGACATACCTGACATAGTTTGATCAAGTTTGTGGATAAGAGACTTCTTAGCACATTCAACATCAGGACTTGGGTAATCCAAAACTTGCCTGCACCAAACTAATGGACTAACTGATTTCTGCATTGGTGTAAGTTTTTTCTTTGGTGATGAATACAGCCTGGAAGAAAATGAAACAAAAGAAGGGGTAACATTCATTATTAAGCATGATCATAAAGTAGAGATATTTACGGATATATTGAAGTTGAGGGGCTTGTGAAAGTGATGGAGTACACTTAAAGTCACCCATGTTTATTTATTTCACAAGAAGAAAATGAAACTCTAGTAAGTCCTTATCAACCTGATTCTCAAACACTATATGAACACAAATGAGGAACTTTAAAAATATGTTTTAATTTTGTCATTTACTCCTACAAATAGAACTTTAGGAAAATCTGTCCTCATAGCAATTTGCTCTGTTTTAGTAGTACTTTACTGACTTCCTAGTGTAGCCACTTACATCATAACTCGTAGTCTAGGAGTTAAGCGGAGCGAAATACTCTGTTTCTCTACTTACTAACTCACATCCCACCACAAATCCACACACACAAATTAGTATTATGTATGCTTTTCTTTTTTTTTTTTTCGGGGGGAGAGGGGGTCTGGTCGTGGGGCTTGAACTCTAGGCCTGGGTCTGTCCCTCAGCTCTTCAGCTCAAGGCTAGCCCTCTACCACTTGAGCCACAGCACCACTTCCGGCTTTTTGCTTATGTGGTGCTGAGGAATCAAAACCAGGGTCTCAGGCATGCAAGGCAAGTGCTCTACCACTGAGCCCCCTTCCCAGCCCCTATTATTTATGCTTTTCAAACATTGAGATATTTGAGAAAAGCAGACTATAAGTCCTTAGTAAATTAATGTAAAGCATTAAGAAACTACTTTTAGAAAAGAAATAAGGGATGGTATTTTATAAAACTAGGTTTAGAAAAGGAGAAAGGGATGGCATTTTAAAGCTCCTAAAAGCTATATCAAAGGGTAAAGGGCGAGCAAAAGAGAGAAGTATTCTTAAATTTCCTATTTCATAGTATTTCATAGGATTACTTCACATTTTGTTAGTTATTAATAATTATTTCATGTATGACTCCATATAAAAATGTTAAAAAGTTACTTAATTCTAAGTGTGATGACTTCAAATTAAGAAGGTTTCAGTAGAATTCATTAGATGTTTATAACTTCATCTTTTATACTAATCAAATTAGACCAGAAAGAAGTGTTTTCTGGTGCAAACAGGTTTGTCTCTTTCCTATCAGAAGGAATCATTGTCAAATTCTATTAGATCTTAAAAAAGACAAACAAAAAACGATTACCAATATTCCTTACACTATTCTATGTAATAAAAGGGAAATATGCTACCAAACTCATTCAGGAAGCAAGTATTACACTCATTCCAAAATCAGACAGACAATAAAATGGCCAATTCTCAATAAAATTCTTGCAAATTGAATTCAACAACACATTAAAGAGATAATACACCACAATGAAACTGGTTTCATCTTAGGGATGTAAAGATGGTTTAATATACATAAGTAAATGTAAGCTATCACCATAAATTGATCATGAACGAATGTCAGACATGATCACCTCAATAATGCAGACAAAAGCTAGGCACTGGTGGCTCATACCTGTTCTCCTAGTTATTCAGGAAACTGAGATCTGAGGATTGGGGTTTCAAGAAAAATCAGGCAGAAAAACCTACAAGAGTTTTATCTCCAACTAACCATCAAAAAGCCAGAAGTAGAGCTGTGTCTCAATTTATAGATGCACCAGTCTTGAGTGAAAAACCTAAGGACCAGCAACTCAGGCCGAGTTCAAGCCCCTATACTGGTGTACACTCTCTCTCTCTCTCTCTCTCTCTCTCTCTGCAGAAAAAGGCTTTCACAAAATTCAGTATCCTTTTTACAACAAAAGCTCTAACCAAACTAGGAATAGAAGGCTATATATGACAAACCTATAGCCACCATCATATTAAATGGAAAATAACCAAAATCATTCCCCTAAAGTCAGTAAAAGGACAAGGGTTTCTAGTTTTCCCATTCTTACTCCATATGGCACTATAATTTGTAGGGCCCCAAAGAAGAAATAAAAGAGATTCATACAAGGAAGGAAGTCAAATTATCCCTATATGCAGACAATACTATCCTACATTTACAACTCCCTACAGGCTGCACCAAAAAACTTCTAATACTAATAAATACTTTAGAATATGTAGCAGCATATAAAATCAACATGCAAAAATAAGTAGCTTTTCTGTATGCAAATAATGAAGTTTGAGAAAGAAATTGAAAAAAATTATTTCATTCACGACAGACTCAAAACAAAAACAGTAAAATACTTAGGCATTAGCTTATCCAGGGAAGTGAAAGACCTCTACAATAAAAACTATAAAACTTTGAATAAAGAAGTAGAGAGAGATAGGGAGAGTGAGGGAGGGAGAAAGAGAAAGACTAAAAGGGGACAGGGGGAGAGAAAGGGGAGGGAGGGACAGTGGGGAGAGGGGGATGGAGGAGAGGAGAGGGAGGAAGAGGAGAAGGAAAGGGGTGGGAGGGAGGGGTTATGGGGGGAGATGGAGAGGGAGGGGAGAGAGGGAGGGAGAGAGAGAGAGAGAGTGAGAGAGAGAGAGAGAGAGAGAGAGAGAGAGCGCACATGCTGGATGGACACCAATGGCTCACACCTGTAATCCTAGCTATTCTGAGATCTAAGGATAGTGGTTCAAAGCAGAAAGTCCATGAAACTTATCTGCAATAAACTACTCAGAAAAGCCAAAAGTGGCTCTATGGCTCAAGTGGTAGATCACTAGCCTGAGCACAGAGGCTCAGGAGAGTGCTCAGTCCTTGAGTTCAAGCCCCTGGACCAGCAGAAAAAAAAATAAAAGAAGAAGTTGAAGAAGACACTCAAAAGTGTAAATCCTTGGGCAAGGAATGTGGCTTAGTGGTAAAGTGCTTTCCTAGCATGCATGAGGCCCTAGGTTCGATTCTTTGGTACCACATAAGATTAATAAAATAAAAGGAGGGGCTGGGAAGGTGGCTCAGTGGTAGAGCACTTGCCTTGTATGCCAGAGGCTCTGGGTTCAATTCCTCAGTACCACATAAGCAAAAAAAGAAAAAAGCCGGAAGTGGTGCTGTGGCTCAAGTGGTAGAGTGCTAGCCTTGAGTTGAAGAGCTGAGGGACAGCGCCCAGGCCCAGAGTTCAGGCCCCACGACCGGACTCAAAAAAAATAAAAATAAAAAATAAAATAAAAGGAAAAGTGTAAAGTTCTCCCATATTCATTGATTGGCAGAATTAATATTGTGTGGTCACACTGTGGAAAACAATCTATAGAATAAATTCAATTCCCATCAGAGACATAACGTCATTTTTTACAGAAATAGAAAAAAAATGGAAACTTTATATGGAAATATAAAAGACCCTGAATAGCAAAAGCAATAATGAATACTGTAAAAAGAGCAATGCTGGAGGCATCATAATACTTTACTCAGAATTACACTACAGATCCCAAAACAGCTTGGTGCTAGCACAAAATAATGCAACAGACCCAATCACCAAAGGAATACAATTACACACCTATAGCTATCTAATAGCCAACAAAGAGGCCAAAAACATACATTGAAGGAAGGTCAGCTTCTTCAACAAAAAGTACAAGGAAAACTGGGTGTCCATTTGCAACAAACTGAAGCTTGACTCATACAAACATCAACTCCAAATGGATCAAAGAACTCAACTTCAAATCTACTAGAGGAAAACCCTGGAAGTTATAAGCACTGGTAAATATTTTCTGAATAAGACTCCAGTTACCTAGTAAATTAGAACACAAATTGACAAATAGAACTAACTACAACAAACTAAAGAGTTTCTAGCAATTGAGACAGGTATTTGAACCTACACACAAATCTTCAGCTAATCAGAAAATAAAGGATTAATATTCATAATAAAGTCCTCATATTAAATAGCAAGAGAACAATTCATGAGCAAGTAAACTGAACAGAAATACAAATATGAAAAAAAAGAAAACACACATGGCTATACACATGAAAAAAATGTTTATTATCCTTAATGCAAATTGAAACCACACCAAAATTCTATCTAACTCTAGTTAGAATGGCATCCTTCAAAAAGCAAACAAAGAATGCTGGTGAGGATATTAAGAAAAAGCAACCTTCATCCACTGTGGTTGATGAAATATAAATTAGTGCAACAATGGAAATCAGTATGGAGGTAATTAAAAAATAAAAACAGTCCTAACCTATGACCCTACCATACCACTACTGGCCATATACCTGAAGGATTTAAATCAATTTACAAGAAAGATAAACTGCATACCTATGTTTATTGTAGCTCTGCTCACAATAGCCAAACATGTAACTAAGATGACCAAAAACAGATGGATAAAAAATAGAATGGATAAAGATAGATATACCATGGACTATTAAAAATAGTTGTAAAACAATGAAATCATATCATTTGCATGAAAATAGGCAGAAATGAAGGATATCAGCTTTAGTCAGATAAGCTCAAAACCAAATTTTGAGCCAGGTGCTGGTGGCTCACACCTGTAATCCTAGCAACTCAGGAGGCTGAGATCTGAGGATCAGGGTTCAAAGCCAGCTCAGACAGAAAGTCTGTGAGGTTCTTATCTCTGACCACCAAAAAGCCTGGAGTTGTGACTTAAGAGACAGAGAGCCTAGCCTTGAATTAAAAAAAAAAAAAAAGCCAAATTTTGTTTGTTTTCGTTCCAATGTGGAAGCTAATACTTACATACTCATAGAAATGCATGTGTGTGTGTGTACTGCCTACATACTGACTGAGGGACTGTTTAGGAGAATAAAGAGAAAAGGGGAAGGGGAAGAATGAAGGATGGAGGTGAATAATTTTCTAACCCATTTTAACTATATATGTATGTGGTATAATCAATCTCAGTGAAAGCTATTTATCAATAGGAGATGAAGACAGAGAAATAGGCTCTGTTGAAGAGATGAATACAAGTGGGTAGGGGCTGACCTAAGGAGGAGGGTGAATGGAAATGATTTGATTGAAAATGGAACAGGAGGAAGTCATTTTGGGGAAGGGGAAGACCGGTGAGGGAGAATGATGGGAATGTCATACTGATTACTATGATACGTTGTATCTC